CAAACTTTAAAAGCTGTGGTTTGTTGAGAGCTAAGATCATAACCTGCGTTTATCAATTAGAACACAGAAACACATTACGTCATTTTATTTAAAACTGGTGAAGATTTGTTACGTTAATCAGGGCGGGTCACAAGTGTGATTAATAAAAAAAAACATGATATACTTCCAAGTGTAGAAGAATATAACTGGCTTATAATTTCAAAACTAAAAAAAGGGGCTTTAATTATGTATGTGTGTGTGTGTGTTTTATTCACATTCAGAATGAGCTATATTCGAACTCTTTGGTTTGTTTGTATTTTAGTGGGCTATTTGCGTACTGTCCACCGCGGGAAATCAAACCCCTGGATTACTGCTGACCCACGGGTGGGGGGGGGGGGATACAACTTTCCAGAATCAGTAGAATAACCGAAAAAACTTGAGACAAATTCCAAATATCCATGTTTGTTTGGAATAAAATATTACCAATGGAATTAATATTTTGTTTTTCGTTCTGAAAAAATGCAGCATGACTAATTGGTTGAAGTAATAAATAATTTTAAGACATATTAGATATATGTAGTGTGAAATGTGAAGATATATTAATGTAAACATGTATCTTCATGTCCTTAAATTCAAACTATCATCATTTACACGAAGTGTTGAAACATGTGTTCTCCATTTAAAACTTGGTTTTAATGGAATGCTTATAACTATCTTACTTTATTGGAACGATTCTTAATAACAAAATGACGGAAATAGAGAGATTTGGTTGTTGTAATTTTTAATCGGTTTTCTTTCTACACAATGGACTATCTGTGGTCTGCTCACCACTGGTATCGAAACCCGGTTTCTATTGTTGTAAGTCCGTAGACATACCGCAGTGCCACTGGGAGGCGTCGGTTTTCCATTTCTGCTAAAGATATTTCCTGTTTCAGTATAGTTTCGGATTCGACTATTAATGCTCCTTAGGCTAAGTGTTTGTAAATTGATTACGATAACAATCGTTTCGGACATATTTTAGTGCAGATGTCTTAAATACAACCGTTTGTTCTTTCAAAACAGCTTAACGAGTATTATATTATTTTTGCAAGCTTTTTCCTCCAGGTGGTAACTGCTGCTGACAGCTAGAGCTTTTCCGTACTTTCTTACTTTTCAAGTTGATGTGAAAAAGGCAAACATATGTTTATCAAAATATAATACATTGGCCACTACTTGCGTACGAAAACAAGTTACGACAGGTAATTGCTTTGTACCACAAAAAAACTGTCAATCTTAATAAGACTACGCAACACCAGAAAATAGACAAAATTTAGCTATGTCAGTAATGATATATAATTCTCCATTCCTTTTGATGACGATTTAGGGTTATAAAGTTCTTAATTTGTCAACTCCCATACCTTTAAAATGAGTTCTTACAGCTATGAAATTATTATAGTATCAACTTTCATACCTTCTGCTGAGAGTATAGGTCTATGTCAGTTCTTGTAATATCAATTTCAATATCCCCTAACGACTGTTTAAGGCTAAAAAGTCCTTATAATATCAATTTCATACCTTCTAGGGAAGGTTTAGGGCTATGAATTTTTTATAGTATCAATTTATATACCTGCTAATGAGGGCTTAGAGCTATGAAGCTCTTATAGTGTCAATTTCTATACCTTCTAATGAGGGTTTAAGGCTCTGAAGTTCTTATAATATAAATTTCTATATCTTTTGATGAGGATTTAGGGCTATGAAGCTCTTATAGTATCAGTTTCCATACCTTCTAATGAGGGTTTAGGGCTAAGTGAGTTCTTATTGTCAACTTCCATAACTTCTGATGACATAATTATATCATTAAAGTGTCTATGATTACTAATAAAAGTCTGTGTTCTTTTATATATCTAAACGTATTTTCGAGTGATTTCAATAATTTTCATTACACACAAAAAACTTGTTAAATGTTAGATGGGAAAGCATCTTTAGTAATCAACATTCCCAGGAAGCTTAAAATAACATTATACTTTATCAGAATGTAGCAGTATATACCATCCAGGTAGCTTAAAATAACATTATACTTTATCAGAAAGTAGCAGTATATAGCATCCAGGAAGCTTGAAATAACATTATACTTTATCAGATAGTAGCAGTATATAATAAAGTATTAACACGAGGAAGGATATAAGAGCTTATGCATGTTACATACTTAAGCATCAAGATTATTACATGGGAAATATTTACAAACAGGAAATCAAACAAGAATTTGATATATTTCCGTTTCTTTTGCAATTATTCCTCAATATCTTTAGTTTCAACCCCAGTCAAAAGAGACAAATGTTTTTCTAGCGTGTCATGTTTTGTGAGTTTTTGTTTGAAACTGTAAAAAAAAAGAATTTTAAAACTTACTCTAATGTTGATTACTAAAGATGCTTTCCCATCTAACATTTAACAAGTTTTTTGTGTGTAATGAAAATTATTGAAA